CATTCTGTAGCCACTGAGCATGCTCAGTCCATATTTGATTGTTTTTCACAGTTTCTTCCTTTCAGTTTACCCCTGCCCCACATGTGGGGGTTTTTTGTACTTCTGCAAACCACATACTACCCAAAGCATGTTCATACCATCATCTTGTGTGAGGATGGTGCCATTTTGGCTACGTAAACAATGGCACTTCCAGCCTGAATATTAGAAACAGAGGGAAATGAGGTGTCAGTGTCAGAACTGAATCATTAGGGTGGGGCTACATTATTTACCACCCCTCCCATCACTGGGGTTGCTTCAGCTTACCAGGGTGGAATGGGGAGAGGCTCTGGTAAGCTTGGTGCAATGCAAACTGCTGACAGGAGGTCAGGTAAGCACCACCAGTTGATCCCAAATCGAGTCCTTGAGGTTTATTTCTGCATTTTACAACAGAAGTGATAAATAGCAACATGTAAGACAAGCCAAAATTTTAATGCTCCCTTCGTTGCAGAACCAAGAGCCAAAGAAAAGCCTGCCTGTTAGCTAATGGCAAAAGATTCATAGGCTCTATTAATGCACTGGTGCAATTTCCCAGCACTCAGACACTACGCAATGCTAACAGCATTTGTGGGTGCTATAAATTGCAAACATGAAATTCAGCTATCTGCTGTACGCTGGATGAAAAGGCATGCAGACTTGTGAGGTTTTAAAACCTTTCGTTCTCCGCCAAAGCCTGCTCCCTTCCTTGCCGCAGACAGTGGGAACACCAGAGGTAAATTTACCTAGGGTTGCCGTATTTCAAAATCTGGACAGAAAAGTTGTTGAGCTTTTTTAAATGGATTTTCCCGGACATGTGGCAGCTGTAAATTAGCACCCACAGTGACAATATCTGCAAAAAAATAACCCTGCACCCTTTTCCTTCCTCCCAGATCAGAGAATAGCTGCCACTCACTTATGCAGAAGAATAAAGCTTGCCTGCATTTGCACAGTGTTCAGGAAGTCCTGATGATCACTGGGGCTTGCAAAGTGTTGTCTCCACACTTTGCAAGCTCAGGTGATCAGCAGATTGTTGGCACAGCTAGTCTAGTCTTGATGACCTGCAACTCCCTTCTGTTCAACTATTTATTTACGTGTGCCCCCCCCCCAATTTCATATATGATGTTTGGTGTAGGGCAGATGGCTGTCGCTTGGCCAAAATAGCCTCATGAGCCAAAGGAGGAGAGCTATTGAGCCTGTGAGCTAGAGATGCCCCACCATTGTTCAACCTCATGGTAAGGCCAGCCCTGAACACCATTGGGCATACACCCAATACATTTAAAGCACACCCTACCAAAAAAAGTCCTGGGAACTGTAGTTTATTCACACAGCTACAGTTCCCAGCACTTTTAAGAAGCTACAGATCCCAGAATAGTTTGCAGAGTGCTTTAAATTTGCAGTGTGTCTACAGTCACACAAAAGCACAATTATAACTAACTTGGCCACTATTGCTTTAACTGCTGCATAGCGTTTTCAAATGCAATGAACAAGTTGAGCAGAATGTGGGACTGTCATCCAGGAAGATAAAAGAAGGTCCCTGCAGGAGTCTGCATGTTTGTTTTCATATCACCAGGATGGTCCTCTGACTTTGAATTAATTCAAAGCTGTAGGAGCAGCAGGAAGGCTTTTGAAACCTCCCTGCCTCTTTCCCCATCCTTTTCTCATGATCCCACTGCCTGTAATTAGGAGGCCTTTGCAGGAACCTGGTGTCAGACGCCTCCGCTTTGTTTCAAGGCGAAATACACGCTTCAAAATAGAAAGGGTGAAAGAGATGACTCTAATCTTGCAGATCCTCTGCTTTGCCTGGCAACAGCCATGAATTATGTATACCACCAACTTCCTCTCATTCCTGCAGCCTTGGAGAATGGGAGCAGCAGCATGAGTCTGCGCTTTTCGGCTTCAGAGGCCCTGATACGACATTGTGGGGTGGGGTGAGGTGAGATGCATCAGCAGAAAGAGGCAATAGTTGCCAGAGTCTGCAATCCTAAGCAGAGGCTCCCTTGAGCCCTTGGCAAGGAGCTGTATCTGCACCTCCAAAGCAGAGAGAGACCATAGACCAGAAACGCAAAAGCTTGCTTTTAGATGAATTTTGCACTCTGCTAGTGACTTCCTCTATGGCCATAAGGGCCAGATCTACTCTACTCTGTCTTTCCTCCTCCTCCATTGATCTGTTTGCCTGCCTGCCTGCATTCCTCCCTCCCTCCCTCCCTTGTGCAGCCACCCAGAGCAACAGAGAACTGGCCTCCGGGTGTGGAGATGGACAGGCAGGCTCTGAGCCAGAGTGGAGAGGTGATTTGGGGGCCTGAGCTCTTGGTGTGGGGGGGGGGCACACCCTGGCCAACCCCTAGGTACATCCCTGATCCTAAGCCCACTTACTTGAGAGTAACTCATGGAATTTCTGAGTAGACATGGTTACGAATGCAGTGAAATAGATAAGACTGAGCTGTGAACTTCTCCATGTGCCCTTCGTGGGCTGAGCAGGCAGTCCATCCCAACCAAAACCCATCTGCTCTATTATGAACATAAAGGTAAAGGGTAAATAGACCCCTGACTGTTAAGTCCAGTTGCGGACAACTCTGGGGTTGTGGCACTCATCTCGCTTTATTGGCCGAGGGAGCCGGCGTATAGCTTCCGGGTCATGTGGCCAGCATGACTAAGCCACCTCTGGCGAACCAGAGCAGCACACGAAAATGCCATTTACCTTCCTGCTGGAGTGGTACCTATTTATCTACTTGCACTTTGACGTGCTTTCGAGCTGCTAAGTTGGCAGGAGCAGGGATTGAGCAATGGGAGCTCACCCCATCGCAGGGATTCGAACCGCCACCCTTCTGATCAGCAAGCCCTAGGCTCTGTGGTTTAGACCACAGCACCACCCGTGTCCCCATTAGGAACATAGGAAGGTGCTTTATAGCAAGTCAGGCCACTGTCCACCTAGGTGAGTACCGACTACCCTGACTGGGAGTGGCTCTCCAGGGTTTAAGGTAAGGAATATTTCTCAGTCCTACCTGGAGTTTCGGGGGAAAGGCAGGCTGGTGAAGGCTTTATAAGAGGGATGGGCAGTCTCTCAGTTTTTGTTTTTACTAGTCTTAAATCTCTGTCTCTGTGTCTGCCTGCCTGTCTCTCTCTCTCTCTCTCTCTCTCTCTCTCTCTCTCTCTCTCACACACACACACACACAGAGCTAACTGTTAGACCATGCTTCCTCAGATGTTTTGAGACTACAATTCCCATCACCCCTGTCCACTGGTCCTGCTAGCTAGGGATCATGGGAGTTGTAGGCCAAAAACATCTGGAGGGCCGAGTTTGAGGAAGCCTGTGTTAGACCTTAATTCCATGCTTCCAAGTCCTGAGTCTAGGCTCACAGGCATAAGTAGCTTTTTCCTGTTGCTTCAGTACAGCTGCACCCGATGCAATATTTTATTTACAATGTGTTGCAGAAACATTCATAAAGAGGAGAGAAAATATATAATTTCTATTGCTGTTACTTACTTGACACAGTAATTTATCATCCAAACTCCGCTTTCAGCAAGGGCTGCATTTTGAGCTCTTTATTTCATTAATTTCCAGTAAGATGTTATCTGCAATCTTTCTGGTAAGCCTAGTTTTTGTATAATAAGGGAATCCACAATGATTAGCGGAAGGGCCCAATTTGATTTGCAGCACTGGAGTGCTGGATACATTATTCCATTAGACTCCCCGCCCCCCCTTGAGCTTCAGAAATTGTAGGCTGATTATTACTGTTGCTAGCAAAAGGGGTGGGGGAGAATAATAAAATTAGAGGGTATAGATAGCATGCAGCTAATCACTTTTTTGCTTTTTCAAACAGATGACAGATTAGATTCATAGAGGCAACATCTGTAGCAGCTGTGTGGCTGTATATGTTTATCCTGGATATAAATCAGTTGGAGAAAATTTAAAAAGCTATCCCTTAAGGCACAAAAGGACTCTGGCTTTGAATCAGTTAGCAGCCCTCCCACAAGGGAACCAGAAATGTATTTTGAAGGGTTTTGTTTCTTTTGTAATGGGAAATTACAGTAAAATAATCTTAGCAGGGCTAGCACTTTGATGGGAAGATACTGTAGATGAAGGGAAGAACTGGTGTCTGAGTGGCACAGCAAGGCTTAAAATTATTTTGGCCCTAGCAAAAGGGACATCCATACTCCAATTGTATGGACTAACATGGTCCGAGCTGCCACTGTGTAGACTCCATGGAGGACAAGGCCAGGCTGAAGTGGTTGGGACCCTGATGCAGTTCCCAGAATAGGTCCCCTTTCCCTCAAAAATTAATGCATGAAAGAAGATACCAGAAAATACATTTTGAGATATCTTAAAGACTGAGAAATGTATTTTTTTTTTTTTACATTATTCTATACATATTACATGGATTACCAGAAATACTCTGATCAAGTGCAGATTCAGAACTCTCAGCGAAACACAAAGAAAAACATTTTGGCAACCTGAATAAACAAATAGAAAATACATTGTGCATTATGACCTTCCTTCTAATAGGTGTAGAGGTTTAGAAGAAGAAGAAGAAGAAGAAGAAGAAGAAGAAGAAGAAGAAAGCTCAAGCTCAGACTTGAACCATGGGCCCAGGTGCATTTGCACCATCCTAAATCCAGTCACGATTTAGGAGAAGGCCCAACTCCAGTTTTAGTTGAGCGCTCAGCCTTTTTGGTAGAGCCCTTCCTACACAGGTGGGCCTTGGGAAGTTTTACCTGATGGTGGTTGCAACAGGCAACAACAACACTGCAATCCAGCAGCAGGGAGCAGCCACTCAGATTCCCAATGGCACCCTGGAGCAGTGGGAAATACCCAGGAAACTGAGAGGGGAGGAGGAACTGAGTGGAATACCCTGGAAAGGGGGATGGGTGGCTGGGTAGCACAGTGACCTGGAGTACTCCACCCTAAAGCATTTTCTTTCCTAATAATTACACAGAAAATTAAGCTTCTGCAGACACCACTTCTCTCACTGCTGTGAGAGGCAAAGGCTGTAGCTCAGCTGTGGAGCATCTGCTTTGTATGCCGAAGGTCCCAAGTTCAGTTCTTGGCATCTCCAGGTCAGGCCTGAAAAGACTCCTACCTGACCCCTTGGAGAGCTGCTGCCAGTCCATGCAGGCAATACTGAACTAGATGGACCAACAATCTGACTCAGTCTCACTATGCTCCTGTGAGAAGCTTAACCCTTCCTTGCAACTTTCAGAATTACAGGAGTGCTGTCCAGTGCTGATCTAAGCTGGTGCCTTCCAATGGTTTTGAACCACAACTCCCATGGCTGATGGGAGTTGTAGTCCAAATTATTTGGAGGCAGCATTTGAAACTCCCATTGTTCTAGGTGCATGAATTTCATTAGCGTGAGCAGTTTCTGAGCTCTGTGTGCAGTTCTACACCAAAGATTTCAGATTGAAAATGCTGAGTAGAAGGAAAGGAGGACCTTTTCTGCGCCTCCACTTCCAGGTACTCTCTGAAGACTGGAGAAGAGACCCTCTTAAGAATATTAGGGGGGCAGGCAGGGAAGCCTGGCTTTGTTTTTTGCAATCTTCAGATGAGAGCTAATGTGAAAAATGAATATAAGATTTTAGCTACAGTTCATTCCTTTTCAGCTTTGTATTCTTGCTATATTAAAAAATGTGCCTACATTCTGTTGTTGTGTCCATGACCTACCTAGTTTTAAGGTGCCATTTAGCTCCTGGCTTCCATATCTCAGTTTCTAGCACTGTCTGGAGGGCATCAGCTTGGGGAAAGGCTGATCTAAAAGAAATCTCAAAGGGAGACAACATGAGTAAGTACCATGAGCATCTGTATGGCACACAAAAGGTCCCAGGTTCAATCCTGGCATCTCCAGGTAGGGCTGGGAGACACCCTGGCATGAAAGTCTGGAGAGCTGCTGCTGCCAGTCAGAAAAGGCAATACTGAGCTACATGGACCAATGATCTGACTTAGTAGCAGGCAAATGCCAATGTTTCCATACTCCTAAACCAGTGGTGGGCTTTGGTCTCTCAAATATCAGTGGTACCCTGTGTGACACTAAAAATTGGTGCTCCTCACCTCATGCTCTCCATTCTACAGCACTGTTGTAGTGTCCTCTGTAGCACGGCGCCCAGTGCGGCTGAACCAGTTGCACTACCCTAAAACCACCTCTGCATAAACACATGTGTGAATTCAACTAGCCACAGGCTGCTTTGCTTGTGGGTGGCCAGTATAGAGCAGTGCCCTGACCAGGGTGGTCTTCTGCAGCTTGTTTCAGGTGACCCTTGGTGGCTCAGCTAGTGTTCACAGAGCTTGCAGCGATTAATAAAAACAGCCATGCTTGACACTATTGTACGACTGCAGCAGATAACAGGTCAGCTGATACTTGTTCTCTTTAGAAAGGATTTTGCCTTGCAGCTAGAATCCCCTATCTTGATTCCAACCAGCCCCACCCAAGCCAATGCTGTAAGCCCAGACATTGCACCAAAATGATGTCAGCTTTTCCCTCCCCCACTTTCTGAGTCAGAGAGAGAGAGAGAGACGCAGAGAAAGACTGAGATGAATTTATGTTTCCAGAAATGAAGTGGGGAGACAGCACTAGAGCAAAGGGGGTGAGGTCTGTCTGAAGGACAGGAGCCGAGGGCTGCATCTTAAACAGGGTGTGGCCAATCTGGTTGCTGCAGTCTGTGCTGCAATGAGGTTTTACATCCCCCCTCAGACCTTGATCTTCCATTAACTCTCTCTGCACCAACTGGAACAATACTTTCTCAGACCAGCTAACTGTTTTAAAAAAGACTGGAAGCAGGTACCTGAGCTCAGAGAAGCACAGATCTTTAGAGCAACAGAAGAAGGGGAGGAAGGTGTTGCATTGCCCGGGAGATACTTAATTGACAGCAACTGCATTTTAATAAAGTGATAGCTCACCTTTCTGATTCTGCTGAGGGCAGTCAGCCCCTCCCTTGGTGAAACGTTCCCCATCCTCCCACATCATCATCTTCACAACTACTGACCCAAGCAGTGGTGTCTGGTGCCTAGGAGGGTAGAAAGCAAGGAGGCCCAGGGGAGGAGAAACCAGATCCACTGGCATGTGGAGCCCAGAGCAAAGAAGAGGCAGTCAACTAATTCTACTTTTGCTTCCCCCTTCTGAGTTCTACAAGGGGCGACACTGAGGATTGGTTGCAAGTAAGAAGGCATGTATTGGGGGGCTGGCCAAAGGGAGACTGAGGGTGGCGGGACAGTTCGCTGCTTGTCCTTATAGATCAGCCTCCACTGGGTCCAAGGTCACCCAAGTAAACTTCTTTGTTGAACGGGGATTTGAAAACAGGTCTCTCTTGTCCTGGCCTGCTAGCTTTTCAACAGCGGAAGAGAGTGTCATGGCACCCCCTGAATTAAATTAAATTAAATTAAATTAAATTAAATTAAATTGTACTTCACCTCAGGTTCATGAGCCATACTGGTTTAAACCAAAGACTTATCTAGCCCAGCTTTCGATTTTTGACAATGGCAATGGTAGCCTGCTTTTAGGAAATATTTATTTATTCATTAGGAAATATTCATTCATTCAGTCATTCATTCTTTGCATTTGCATCCCACCTTTTTTCTCCAAGGAGCACAAGGTGACATACGTGCTTCTTCCCCTCCTCAATTTAATCCCCACAATAACAAGGTAGATGAGGCTGAATGGCAGCGGCTGGTCCAAGGTCACCCAAGTAAGCTTTATGAACAGATGAGGATTTGTACCCGGCACTCGCTGGCCAAACACGCATCGACAGTGTTATCGGAACTGCTGGGACCATCGGGGGGTCTTTGTCGAAGACAATTAAATCTGTCTCTGGCTTAATAATATTAGAACCTAGGGACATCCTGTGAAGCTGAGCTTTGGGAGACTCAGGAAGACAGGCAAGTTCCTAACACAAGATGGCCATCAACGTGGACATCTCTAAAAGGGGACTGGGCAAAATTTATACAGGAGAAGCTTATCAATGACTCTGAGTTGTTATTTTTATATATTTCCTCCATTATCAGAGGCAGTATGCTTCTGAAGACCAATTGCTGGAGAGCACTATTGCACTCATGTCCTTATCATGGGCTTCCCATGGGCATCTGATTGTCCACTGTGAGAAAAGGCTGCTGGTCTGATTCCGCAGATGCTCATTATGTCCTTCTGACTTTTGTCTGCCTTGAACATAGCGCCTTTTTATATCTCCGGGTGCTAGAATTAGGTGATTTATTTTTAAAAGGGAAAAAACTCCTCTTGTTTTTCTACATCATGCATAATTCTAAAGCGCTCTGTCATGCCCTCACTTGGATATCTTTTGAAGAAACCCAAAAAGTCCCATACATTTTATCCATCCTTCATAGAAGCAATGGTGGAGGAAGAGGAGTGCGGGGGGAGCGCAGAACCCCGGCAGCGCGATCCCAATGGGGTGCCATTGCGGCTGCCCCCCTGCCCGTGCTGGGCACCACTCCCCCGCAGGTGGCATGCCACACCCCCAGAAGGCATGCCAGCCCCGCCCCACCTGCTCTCCGCGCCCCCCCCCCCAGTGCCAGAGCATGCAGCTCCACCACTGCATAGAAGGTGTTCCAGTGCCCTTGATCATTGCCCTTATCTGCACCTTGAAGAGCCAGTGGGATTCTAGTATAATGCACAGTAATCATCAGAAACACTTCGCAGCTCATTCTGGTGGGGCTGTTGCTAAATCAGGAGTCTGGAGCAGATCTCTCCATGCAGATGTCTCTCCATTCGCAGAGTTTGCTTGGGAGTTGCAAAAGACACAAGAAATTGTTATGCAGACATTATACCAACTGATTGATCAATATCTTAAGTAGTCCTTGCTATTAGGATTCTCTTTCTCTCTCTCTCTCTTCCTCTCTCTCTCTCTCTATATATATATATCTCCACTGACAAGAAGCAAATGCAAAACTATACCTTTGGGGTGTCATTTTGGTAACTTTTGGTGTGCGTCTTGCAGAACCCTTAAAAGCAGAAACCCTTCAAAGTGCAAACCCACAGATCTCTGCTTTGAGGTAAGAATCACTGAGTTCAACACAGCTTACTCCCAGGTAGCCTATATACAGTGATACCTCGGGTTATGAACTTAATTCGTTCCAGAGGTCCATTCTTAACCTGAAATAGTTCTTAACCTGAGGTACCAGTTTAGCTAATGGGGCCTCCTGCTGCTGCCGTGCTGCCGCCACGCAATTTCTGTTCTCACCCTGAGGTAAAGTTCTTAACCCGAGGTACTACTTCCAGGTTAGCGGAGTCTGTAACCTGAAGCGTTTGTAACCCGAGGTGTTTGTAACCTGAGGTACCACTGTACTAGCAAAGCTAGAGCTTAACACTTAAAGCACATTTGGCACCAGTCAGCAAAGCTCCCATTTTGATTACCGTACAATTAATTTTGTGAAGTGAGACAATGGAAATGTAAAAGGATGCAGAATTCTAATCAGCAGCAGCATTGCCTATATTATGTTCACAATTTTCTAGGCACTAAACAAATATTAAAAATGACACAGGCTTCCTATCTAAAAAGCTTAATACAAATTCAGGATCTGAAACTTTTTTTAAAAAAAAAATTGTCATTCAGACAAAATGTCTCAAACTCATTAACAACAAAAACAATTAAATGTGTAAGAACTATTCAAATTCAGTGCAGATAAGAATAAATATCTCCACTTAAGAGGTTTGTGGGGAAAGGAAGGCCTTCCTTTGGCTCAGAGAACATAGCAGAAGCAGTGCCTTTTCTTGAGCATCAAAGTGACCAAGAAGAGAAGGAGTAGCAGCCCTGCCTTAACCTAATGTGACAGAATCCCTGATCAACCCCAATGGCCCCTGCTTGGTCCTAGATCTGGGATTCCATAGGTGTTGGGGCACAGTCCTAGATGGTGCTCGTTTGTCTGCACTCGCCTCTGAACATCTGAATGAGGATCAAATCCTGAACCAGACTGCTAACTTTTGGTAGTTCACGCAAATCTCTTCACCTGTCTTGATGTCTTTGTGGTCTAATAAAGGTGTTATCTTTGCAATTGGATTTTGGGGTTTTCTTACGGGCCTTTACTTATTGTATGACAAAGATAAAAGGATTGTGG